CAGCAAGAGAGAGTGAGAGAGAGAGGGAGGAAAGGGAGAAAGGCAAAAAGAAAATGAGAGCGAGAGAGTAAGACAACAACTGAGCAAGAGCTATGAACTCACTCCAAGGACTTGAGAGGCACAAATCTGACGTTGAAGATGAGAGTGACCAGTCCAGTAGCAGGATCACGGTAGTGTCGGGCAATGCTCATGTCAACAGAGTTCTGAATGATGTCCTTGGCTTCATCATTAGCATAAGACAGCTCAAAGCTGAACTCCTCTGCTGTTGCCATGGCTGAAAACCCAAGAAAGTATGTCAGAATTTGTATTTTTTTAAAGTAAAGAGAGGCACATCAACACAGTAACTTAACCCTATCCGTACACCCCGGGGTCATAGATGAAGAGGATAAAGTTAGTTGTATTCTTCACATTTTATAATACTTCTACTTCTAGTACGAAGATTTCTTTGAAACTTACCGTATTTCTCAAATAATGATTTTGACAGACTGCTATGCAAAGCGTTTGGATCGGATTAACTAGTAAATTTCCTCTTTGGAAAGTGGTGACACAGAGTTCCCCACATCGTATGGATACGATAGTAAAACACGACGTACGGATAGGGTTAAAGTCATTAAATGCCAGGAAGAAAGCAGGGCAAACTGACAGCAACAGGTGGAGAAAGAAAAGGTAGGATCTACAAGTGGTGCCTTCTAACTACCTGCAGTCTCTGAATTTTAAACTGTATTTTCTCACAAGATGACCTATTAAACACCTTTTAAGAAAACCTGCAGTGTAGGGTAAATTGATATACGATAATTAATTTTTTCTTTCCCTGTTTTTACAACACAGAAGTAGGTTAAAATGACTTATACACATACTTCAGATTAATGAAAGTGCAACAAAAATGTGACCAAAAAAGTGTCAGCGACAGCGACAGCTTACAAAATAAAACAAAATTTCATGGATCAATATTCACCAAACAATATCTAAAGTATAATATATTTTGTACGTTACATATAGCCTTCAAATTTGATATTTTTGACAATTTCAAATTCAGTACTGCAAACCAAAAACATTAAATCTTTCATAAAAGGCAAAGAAACCCAATGCAAATGAAATAATTAAGAAAAGCATTAAAAAGACAAACGAAAATTGTTAACATTTTTAAAGCTCATTAGCAAAAAAGATACAACCCACTGACTCACAGTTTAGAGAAACTTTTTTATTATAATAAATATAAGCTGACCAGAAAGAAAAACAGTAACAAAATTCAGCAAATTTGATTTGCATATATTTGGTGTACATAGGTGGACAAAACAAGAAAAAAACATTGCAAGAGCAGTCTTTCCATTCATTGCACATCACATCACCATCTTATTCTATTACCGTGCCTCATGCAGAGGTAATTTGTCTGTATTTCACAAACAGAGACAGTTTTGTGTTTTCTTAACATTAGAAAAAAGATTGTTTGTCTTTGTTTCTTCACAAAATACTCACAACAAATTTGTGACTTTTTTCTCATGAGTATTTTTCATGAGCATCCTCATTTCCTCATTTTGTTCCTTACCTATCCATTGTACTCTCTGCTCCTCCCCCCCCCCCCCCTCCTCCCCCACCTGAACCAGTTTTCAATATTTCTTTTGGTCAAATCAGAAAACCCCTCTCCTCTTAAATTCTTAAAACCTACTGTGACATTTCCATCTTCCGTGAACTTGGCACAAGTGATAATCCAACCCAAAATTCATCCACCACGTACACCCAACACAGAGCAAATAATTGTCCCCTTAAAAATTGGTTGACAACCACAAGATTTTTCAGACCTTTTCCCTTGTAGTTTATTGTCACATTTATCTATAGACAACAACTCAGAGACCTAGCATACAGTTATTCACTACCCTATCTCCGCAGCTCAGTGGCATGACTTAGTGTTGGTTGGAATGACTTAGTGTTGGTCACTGCTCTATCTCTACAGCTCAGTGGAATGACTTAGTGTTGGTCACTGCTCTATCTCTACAGCTCAGAGGCGTGACTTAGTGTTGGTTGGAATGACTTAGTGTTGGTCACTGCTCTATCTCTACAGCTCAGTGGCATGACTTAGTGTTGGTTGGAATGACTTAGTGTTGGTCACTGCTCTATCTCTACAGCTCAGCGGCGTGACATAGTGTTGGTTGGAATGACTTAGTGTTGGTCACTGCTCTATCTCTACAGCTCAGTGGAATGACTTAGTGTTGGTCACTGCTCTATCTCTACAGCTCAGTGGCATGACTTAGTGTTGGTTGGAATGACTTAGTGTTGGTCACTGCTCTATCTCTACAGCTCAGTGGAATGACTTAGTGTTGGTCACTGCTCTATCTCTACAGCTCAGTGGAATGACTTAGTGTTGGTCACTGCTCTATCTCTACAGCTCAGTGGAATGACTTAGTGTTGGTCACTGCTCTATCTCTACAGCTCAGTGGAATGACTTAGTGTTGGTCACTGCTCTATCTCTACAGCTCAGTGGAATGACTTAGTGTTGGTCACTGCTCTATCTCTACAGCTCAGTGGAATGACTTAGTGTTGGTCACTGCTCTATCTCTACAGCTCAGTGGAATGACTTAGTGTTGGTCACTGCTCTATCTCTACAGCTCAGTGGCATGACTTAGTGTTGGTTGGAATGACTTAGTGTTGGTTGGAATGACTTAGTGTTGGTTGGAATGACTTAGTGTTGGTTGGAATGACTTAGTGTTGGTCACTGCTCTATCTCTACAGCTCAGCGGCGTGACTTAGTGTTGGTTGGAATGACTTAGTGTTGGTCACTGCTCTATCTCTACAGCTCAGTGGAATGACTTAGTGTTGGTCACTGCTCTATCTCTACAGCTCAGTGTCATGACTTAGTGTTGGTCACTGCTCTATCTCTACAGCTCAGTGGTATGACTTAGTGTTGGTCACTGCTCTATCTCTACAGCTCAGTGGAATGACTTAGTGTTGGTCACTGCTCTATCTCTACAGCTCAGTGGAATGACTTAGTGTTGGTCACTGCTCTATCTCTACAGCTCAGTGGCATGACTTAGTGTTGGTCACTGCTCTATCTCTACAGCTCAGTGGCATGACTTAGTGTTGGTCACTGCTCTATCTCTACAGCTCAGTGGAATGACTTAGTGTTGGTCACTGCTCTATCTCTACAGCTCAGTGGCATGACTTAGTGTTGGTTGGAATGACTTAGTGTTGGTTGGAATGACTTAGTGTTGGTCACTGCTCTATCTCTACAGCTCAGCGGCATGACTTAGTGTTGGTCACTGCTCTATCTCTACAGCGCAGCGGCGTGACTTAGTGCTGGTCACTGCTCTATCTCTACAGCTCAGCTGCATGACTTACTATTTCCCACAACAACGCCCTCAGGTATCTGAGGCTTCTTGTCTTTAGGAGTTTTGGCCCGAGTAGCCAAAGAACTGGCTCCAGATGACCCAGGCACCACCCCGGCAAGAGTGACCTCCAGCCGCTGCTCCACCTGGTCTCGTGCCTGGCACGTGATTCCTGCTGCCTGATTGTCCTTGACCGGTGCAGACTCAGGCACGCCGTGAATTGGGTACAGCCATCGGATTTCACTGAGACCGGTGCTCATACTGGACAGCTTGTGACTGAGTTGAGAAAACAAAGGGTCGGGGGAATCAAAAGACTTATCAATGTCTTTACTGAAGGCTCACAGACATGGTCAAGTAAAGCCAACAACACAAGACTTAGATTTTGATCAGGGCTCACTGATATTATAGTCTCAGTTGCAAGCAATCCAGTAAGTCCAAATTTTGAGAATTCTCGAGTTTTACACTATCCCAAAGCCCTATCAAAGATGCACCTTTCAGCATCACCAAAAAGCAGTATAACGCTATGATCAAGGCTTACAATTTTTTTGCTTTTAATGATTCCTGATAGAAACAACACAGCAAAAACTAGGGATTTTTTGCCTCTGGAGTAAAAAATTCCCAAATGGACTTAAGTAGATCCCTTGCAACACTGACGTTATGTGTCCTTGAACAAAGTGATGAGCTGTGGTGACAAGAAGCAGAGTGTCCGCAAAACAGATTATACACAGTATGTGAACAAAACACTTAGATGGTATGTACTATGTCACATGGTTGCTTGTGAATTTAGGATTCAACATTCATAACATGCTGTTGATACCCAAATCTTTTTACATTAAATAAACCAATCCACCATAACTACGACTGTTTAGTCGAACGTTCAAGATTCATTTTTTTAAATCTTCCCACAAACTCACAGCCTTAAATTATTCGATAGAACACATATTTGACTTTCTCTACAATATATTTCAGTATGGGTTTAAGACCAGTATAAACACACAGCACTATCTAAGAGTTTGCACCCCTTCTTCTCTATCTATTCCGAAACAGAGACAAAATACCCACAGTTAGTTCACTTGATATAATGCTGGATGACTCTGATTTGAATCTTTTTTGTGGCGTTCTCAAACCTGAGTTATATATAGGGATTTTTCAAAGCTCCACACCTTTCTCACTCAGTCTCATCGGATATTAAAGGTAAATTTGAGGTCTTAAATAAGCTTACAGAATTGAAAGGGGTATTAAACCCTTACCACACCACACAGAGAGTAAACCACCCTTTACTCACCCAAGTGCATCTTGGGGCACATATGGCCACTGTTGTCCATCTTCCCGCCTCACAACAACAGTACAGAAGGCCTGGTAGTTGAGCATCTCTTTGGGTGCAAAACTGATGGGAATCTCCAGAGTCGACTTGGGTCCCACACGCAGACCAGAGTCATGTTTGATCAAGAGTTTGAAGGCAGACTCCGGCCCAGGGAGACCCTCACATTCTTGGGCTGTGGACGGTGCTTCTGTGTCTGAGGAGTGGGGAAATACATGCTGTTGCCATTGTTGCTTTTGTTCTCCTCCTCCTTCTCCTCCCTCTTTTTCTTCTTCTTTTCTTTCTTTTTCTTCTTCTTTTTCTAAACAAGTGCAAAGACACTTCTTCTTTTCTTTCTTGTTTGTCTTCTTTTTCTAAACCAGTGCAAAGACAATTTTCCCATTATTCGCACAAAAATATGGAGTCTTAAAGAAAACATGCAATGTAACTTGCAATTCAATTATATCAATCATTATTTAATTAAAGAATACAAGCAGTCCATATGATGTAGTCTTTTTCTAGTCTTCTGTTAAAATGGATGTATACAAAAGACATGAAGGCTCTTTAACCCCTTGCCCGTTCTACGGACATACCTGGTACACCCTCGTACTGTGCAACTGTATGTGCTGTAGGTGGGCAAAATATACCCTTGAAAACCCATGTTTTGTGAAGTTCCTATCCTTGCTTCAATACAGTTTTGAATGAAGAGAGTTATAACCCTGTCTTCTGTGTCCACTTGTCGATATTAATATGTCTCTTTTTATGCTAGAACAAAGAAAGCCGTCTTGTCTTTCTTACATACATCGAGTAAGAAAGCCACAGCCAATATGAAGAATCAAAATGATGGTTAAGTCTCTGTAGTTTCAAATTGTTTGCTTCATTATGGTTTGTTCTACATGGGTCTGAGCAAAGGTGGAAGCCGTCTCTTTATTCCTCTTTCTGTTGATCTATAGTTTGATGGCAAGTGTGGGCTTTGTGCCTGGTGTTGTCTTTCCTACAAAAATTATGAAGACAGAGCCAACACATCGAATCAGAGCACTTGTTCATCTCAGTACTTTCAAGATAATTACGTTGTTATGGCTTGCTCTACGCATGTCTTCTCAATGGGTAAGGTAATCTTTAAAAAAAAATAATTTTTGAGCAGGTGATTTTATACCGCTATCGACACATTTCAGATCATTTAAGAGATGGGCTTTCGACCCAGCCTGTCAAGGCCAACACAGGCTGAGAGGGATACACCATCCCAGGAGAAAGATTGAGATGTACAATTAAAATCTGGCCCACTATGAAACTGAACTCAAGTCTCCTGCATCTATCAGCTACACAACAAACATCAATCAAGCCATTTTCCTTTTCTTTTTTCATTGAAGTTTACTTTTACCTAACTGCTATTTATAATAAACAAACAACTGTCAATTAAAGATTGTGACTTGTGACGTTTTGCACACTGTGAAATATTTCTCAGCATGTGGTGTGCAAGTGGATAACCCTTGAGTAATGGATCTCTGAGTTTACAGGATCTATGCATCTGAGCTCCAAAGTGGCAACTGCTAAATTTACAAAAACATTACACTGCTACTACACTCTGAGATTTGCTTTCAGTATGTAGAAGGTTAAAAGTAGAAAAAACTAAGGTATGCACAATGGGCCCTTAAGGTTAAAGCATGCATTGTAAAACTTACCAGTCAGCACAATATCTGCCAGCACAGCAGAATCTGTTGGGTTGCGGAATGGAATGATGAGAGTGGTGTTGGAGCCAGCACTGGTGTACACACTGACTGGAGCCTGGGGGCGGGGTAGAAGGCCTGTGCCAGATGCCACAAACACCCACTCACCAAGCTGGATGAAGGATTGAAACAATTAGCATGTCATACAAGCAAACAAACAAACAAGCAAACTAAAAAAAAAAAAAACAGGCATGCGAACAAAAGAAACAGTATGGCAAAGGATTAAATCCCCCTTCCCCCCTCAATAGCACCCCTTTTCTAATGAAGTCTCAATATATGTGTGTGTGCCTTGAGAGAGGTCCCAATAGTCGGAAATTTGGGATATTGAAATAAGGGCATATCCTTGTAGCAAATACAATGCTGAACATGCCGATTTTTTTAAATTTTCAAACATTTTGAATAATTTTAAAGATATGCCACATTTTGTAACACAAGGAGTAAATACAAAGTTTGGAGAAAAACCCAATTTCTAGCACATTTGTACCCTTTGGTGAAGTACAACATGTTACAAAAACAAGTAATAAAAAATATTTAGACTTAAGATATTATAAGATTCTTTCAATGTATTATTCAGAAATGGTTAAACGCATGTTTTTTTTATGGAACTAAACTTTTGATCAGGTGAAACTATTTTGGCCTTTTAACCCTGTTGCTCAAAAAATGCTTTGCCGACAACTGGGACCTTTCTCCAGGCACACCCACATATATGCAGGCAATAACACACTTTCATAAATTTTTACTTTCATCTCAGAAATAATTGAATTAACTGGATGGAGACTCATAACAATTTTTTAAGTTAATAAAGTTAAGAACGTCTCTTTGGAAATCCAAACCAAAGTCCTCCACAAAACACAGGTTGATAAAGAAAATAAAGTGTCAATCAATATTTTCACAAACACATTTTGTATAGCTCAATTCAGAGGGACAAAAAAAAAAGAAACAAAACTTTATAAAATGAGTAGCTCATATGTGTCACAACGCAGTGGAATCAGGCTCTCGTCAATTTTTGGGCATGTAGAGTTATTGGTAGCATCTGAAACCTTGTACTTTTGTCTTGCTTTGGTTGAAAAATATATCCATTTGTCTTGAACAGAAGTCGAGATATTCGCAAATGAAGGAGGTGGGGGTCACCTGTTTTCAGAGTTAAAATTATTGAGAAAATGGCAGCCAAAGATGAGTTATTTTCTTACCTTGAGAGTTCGTGGAAACTGAAAATTTACATTTTTAGTGCCTTTAATCAACGTTTTTCAGTAAAATCAACATAGCAATGTGTGCTATAATGAGAATGAAAGGTATTGAGCCAAAATACGAAAATTGGATAAAAATTAACAAACCTGCAGAAAAATGCCAGTTTCTTCAATTTGATTATTTTGACGAGCGCCTGATTTCACCACGCTGCCTCACATATTATTCTGACTAATCTGAACCAAGTGCTTTATCTTCAAAATGACTTGTTTGTGCCTAGTGCCTCATACAAGTAGTAACTTAATTAGGTATACTCGAATTAAATAAAGACAATCAGCATCCCATAACAATATGTTGGGGCACTAGGCAATGTGCGTATGGTGTAGTGCCTGACAGTAGCACTGACAGATCAGCTTTCACAGGGAAACGAGTTGGCTCTTCACAGTAGTGTGTATAAGACAAGAGTTCAGTTCCCATGTAAAAAAGTTTGTTTTATCCATTACCTTTGTCTTTCTGCTATAACTATAATGCAGTATTCCACTTCGCCCAGGCTGGCCCTGACTAGAAGCATTGAAGTAGCCTGCTTCCTAAAAGATCTAGGGTCTAAACTTTATCCATAACAGTGGTGCATTAGACAATTATACTTGAATACCAAAGTATATCGCACTTTAGCAAATGATAGTCCAGTGTCCAAATGACTAAGCCCCCTTGATAACACCATTAAACAAAAACAAAACAACAAATCAAAAGTCAACTTGGGATTCCTTTCATCCCTGTACTGACCTGCTGACTCATAAAGATGACTTTGGCCAGGTGGTCAGCCTCCCCTAGACATGAGGGCATGAATCGAAGCGGTACCTCCACGCTGGAATGTGGCCGCAGCACAATGGGGCGCTCGTTGTCACGCTCCAGGGAGAAGTTGTTGGTGTTGGAGATGCTAGGGACAAGTTCAAGGGTCTCGTCTGTTGGGTTGTTCAGAGTGATTGTCTGTTTAGTCCACCTGGAAAAGCAAATGAAAAGAGAAAAATACAGAGCTATGAATGGCGATATAAACTGTTTTTCAGTGGCAATTTTATAGGATGAAAAGAACTTGGTCACCTAGATACCAATAGAAGAGAAGCAGATTGATGTAGAGATTGCACTAGGGAAATTTAAAGGAGGGTGATTGGTAGGAAAGATCAAAAGGGAAAATGAATAAAGGCAGAATCTTTAGATTGAGTGCCTAATCTTACATTATGTTACATGACCCCTCTGCGCTAATAACAGTGTTAAACCAATACAATACCAAGTAACATCTAGATCTACGCAGGTTTTGTTACTACTGGAAAGCTCTTTTTGTGAACTTGAGTATAGTGAAAAGTGAGGATTTGTATGGTTTGCTTGGTTTGAAATACTTTCAGAAGAATAAGGCAGGGGTCATTACAGATGTAAAATAAAAGAAGTCTTGAGCAAATGGTGTCTGACGCTGATTTACTTTTACCGCAAGGAGTATACCAACTTTTACTAAGAACAAAACTATGACCTTGAAAATAATGCAGAAAAGCACACGTCTATGTGCTCTGCAGTTATCAATAGTACTCAGAACAGTTAGATCCTAAATATTTGCAAAATTGTTTGTCCAGCTGTCATCTGTCATATTGTGAACAAAAGTATTTTCCAGTGTGTCAAAAGACTACAAGCAAACTTCTCTGAAGTGGTTACGCCCAACATTTACCTTTTTCCGCCTTCATGACAATGACTGGGATCATAGAACTATTGAGTATAGCAAGAATGCAAAACAATAACTACATTCCACCGGGAACAGATGAGGAAAGAAATGACTCTTAAAACAAGTAAAAGGAGTAAAGAAGACAAAAACATCCATCAACCGTTAAACTCTTTCCCTAACAGGCCAAAATCCACCACTGGCCCAGGACTTTTCCCTTGACCTATATTTACACCTCTACCCCGACAAAAGATAACGTCAAAACATCCAACTGAACACACACAAACCATATCTTATGGCCCATCAAACTGCAGGTTAAAATATAATCTATCAGACGACGATACAATATTGAAGATTTATTCCAATTATATTACTTTGGGGTTTTTAAAAGTGATTATGCAATATCGAAGGCATCATATGAAATCAACAATTTTCCAGCTTTGAAAGGTCATATTTTAAAAAGTACAACAACAGCATAATTCAAACTTCCCAAGTAGGTTGCCTCAAGTAATGCGAAGAAATGTTGAAAGTTATGTATGTGTACCTAATATAGAAGTGAAAATATGAGACATATACTGAAGTCAGGGTAGCGTTTTTTCCCCTCATATTTACGTTTCGAAGGGGACAAAAAAAGCCCTGAAATGACTAAAATTCGTCTCTCAGTGCTATATTTTCTTTCGTATCTGCTAACAGGAAGTCTATTCTATCATTTTGAAAACGTGGATCAGCCGAGATAGATAGCAAGCCACTCGAGCCGTATTTTGCGGCTCTTGGTCCAGCGAGGCAAGTGTTAAGCAGAAATTGATAAATATCTACAACAGTTCTGGATGCTTGATGAATATGTTCTACACATCCAAGGACATAATTTAGATAGTTTAGAAGGCAGGCTGCTTCCACCCGGACTATGAAGGAAACAATGTCTTCTGCATGTAACAGCGAAGCACCTAACCGCTACATCACAGATTCTGGTAGTTAAATAGGTACAAAGTGAGACCAAATGACAATACACCAGACAACATCAGAAAACCCACCAACCTACCAACATGGAAACAGAACAATACAAGCAACAGTTATAGCTACAAAACAGCTAGACAATCTGACAAGATTATCTCTGAATTTTGCACCAACCTTCCGAGTTCACATTCCATGTGTGGTAGTGTTGTCGGCAAAGGAGACTGAGCTTTCAAGACCAGGTCATACCAGAACTCCCCAACCTCTTCATTGAAGAAGATCAAGCTGCAACAATGGAGCAGAGTACAAGTTAATCAAGTTAATTACCTTGTTCAGAAAGGAAAAAAATAAAAGCTGATTCTGGTCTCATCTTTACTGTGTACAAGTAACTTGGCTATAACTAAATAAAATGATTATGCATAATACTTAAGTCCATACTAGTGGACTTTGTATATCTTTAGTGTTATTCTAGCCCACCAAATTGGTTTCTGAGGGTTTCAAGATATAGCCATTTTTCTAATTTAGTTATTTTTCCTAGTTTTTAACTGAAAAATCACAAATGCCCAAGCCATCGTATGGCTTAGGCAATCTCTTTTTCATTAACCTTCTCAAAATTTCAAAAAATGACTTTAGCTTTTGTGGAATGATGCTAACGATATACCTGCCTACATTTCTGAAAGTAGAAGCTTTGTGTGTGGGTGACAACTGTAAACTAATTTATTCATCTACACCAGACTTTGCCTCACAGGAAATGATACATAGAGGCACAACACTTTTGAGTCACAGGTCCTGATCATTTACGGTAAACTCCTTACCTGCCCCTAGTTTCTCCTATCTGAGAGGGAGCATAGGTGAGGGTGTAGACATCCTTCTCACCAGGCGGGAGGGTGATCATGAGTGGACCCGTCAGGTCTCGCCCTTTGATGGTCGCTGTCAGAGTTATCTCTTTTGGCGTTGGGTTACGAACAATCACCTCCAGTACAGCCTTTTTCTGTTGTAAAAAAGCAAAAACAAGTTTCAATCTCAATTCTTAGTTTATTTGCCTTACAGGATAAGCTCTACGATACAATACTAAGAATTCACAACCTGGGTACAATTTGTTGACGAAGAAGCAACAGCAGGAAAGAAAAAAAAAAGAAGATGGCTTTACAAGCAAAATCCTCTAATGCTGTGACAAGTTATCTCTAGATTATCAATCACCATGTCACTTCTTTTTTGTTCACTCTTATGAGTTAGGGGATAATAAGAAGGAATAGTAGTAAGTGAGGAAGAGAATGAAAGTTAGGGACAGGTAAGGAAAAACTAAAACTAAACCTCACAGGCTCAAGGACACTTAGTAACATGTATCATCACAAACGTCCATCTCGGCTTCATATTGCACAAATCTAGAAGATTTTTCCATACGAGCTCAAGTGTAAGGGTCAGGAAGGCTCAACGATTAGGGCTCAAAGGGTTGGTACTGCTTTCTCTTTCTTAACATCTCTTGGTTTATCCATTTCTGGTGTCTTGAGGAGGAGGAGTTGAGTTGAGACGGAGTTTTAAGTTGACCCTAAACAATAATGGAGACACTTTGCCAAGAACAGATGAAAAAAAAAATGTAATTGTAGATGTTTTACACCCCTACTAATACAGGTTAGATCTTTAAGGAGGCGTGCTGCCTCAATCCCACCTGTCAGAACCAACAAAGGCTGAAAGGGGTACAACATTCCAGCACACAGATGGAGACACTCAATAAAACCTCCCTGCTTGGCAACTGAACTCATGTTCTCTGCATACGATAGCAAAATGTCTGTTTCACCAGAATCAATGAAAAAATAAGAAAAGTGGTAATAATTAAAAGTAAAAGAAAAAGGAGAAAAACCTTGGAGTGTCTATGGACTACGAAGGAAGAGGAATAGCAAAAAGAAGATGGAGAGAAGGAAGAAGAAGAGGGAGGGATAAGTTTACTGCACACTACCTGGCAGGCACAGGTGACTGTCATGGTCCTCTCTGGCACAGGGGGTTTGACATCGACCTCCAGCGAGTACCACATGCGATAGCCGTGGTACTCTCTGCCACTCTCATCCTGGGGTAGTTCTTCACCATCACTGTCCACTTCTCTGGAAAACATAAACAAGGCATCCATCATTATCCCTTAGACAATTTCATTTCTCACAGCATTTGGTTCAAAAGAAGTCTCCTGGTTGTTTTAAAAGGACAAACATTGTGAAGATCCCATTATGGGATGCAGAGTGGCCCAACTCATGAGACATTTCAACAGAACAGGCTTGTTCGACGAAAGGCTCTACAAAGTACAATTTCCAATACTCCATATAACTTACAAAAATGAAAACATAACTTATTTGAGTTGGTTTGAGTAAAGAGAAGCATACAATAACAATCATTTGGTGTGGAGAAAAAAGTTTTAAAAATCAGACAGAAACACAAGAGACAAAAAAAGAAGCAGGACCTACAATTAAGTGGCACCCTCCAAACACCGGTAAAGTAAGACCAAAGGGATAACATCTTAAATGCACCTTTGTTATACAAACCATACGTCATTAATTGGGATATATCAATCCTAAAAAGAAGAAGATAAGAGACATTGTCTAAGCATCTTACTTGTGTGGGTTTTCCCCAGCAATGAACGCCACTACACCCTTAAACTTTCCTCTCTTGGTGGGAGTGACCACAAAGTTGTAGGTGCCAGTTTGATTGGGCAGCACAGTAACAGTCTCCTGACCACTGATGAATGGCAGATCAGACTCAACCTGGAAAAACAAAGCCTTCTATATTAGGCTTGTTTATTCTTTTCATCAATGAGAGAGAGAGAGAGAGAGAGGGAGAAGGAGGGAGGGAGGGGGAGGAAGAGAGAGAGAGGGAGAGAGGGAGAGGGAGAGAGGGAGAGAGGGAGAGGGAGAGAGGGAGGGAGGGAGGGAAAGAGAGAGAGAGGGAGAGAGAGAGGGAGAGAGAGAGAGAGGGAGAGAGAGAGAGAAAGAGAGAGAAAGAGAGAGAGAGAGAGAGAGAGAGAGAAGAGAGGGAGAGAGAGAGAGAAAGAGAGAGAGAGAGAGAGAGAGAGAGAGAGAGAGAGAGAGAGAGAGAGAGAAAATCCAATTATTAGCTTTTACTCAGGTCATTAGATTGACTTCAGTAATTACAGTTGACTGAGTTTTCTGAAAACAGCAACAAATGACTTTGGTAATTTGGTTATGACTGTGATGATGCTTTTTTTCTCTCCCTGACTACATTTGAAGCTGGAAACAGTGAAATAGAGAAAGGTACTGATTACTCATAATTTTTTTTCAAATGTCGCTAAATAACAGCAGCAGACATGAGTACACATGCTAAACTAGAACCAGCAATCTGTGCCAAGCATTTGGGCTAAAAACACTGAGTATAAGTTTCACACCTGAAAAGACTTACAGCTTCAGTTGTTATTACATCAAGAAATGCAAAACATAGCCCAAATTACGTAAGTGTACTGACCCGGTAGGTGAGTTTCTTCTTGGTCACATTTGGCACTTTGACTGTGTGGATCACACTGCAATAAAATAAAGAACAAGTGAGGGAAATCAGCAGAATGTCATTGGAACTTTTCCACCTCTGTTAACAAGTTTTGCTCATCAACATTTCCCCTGTATGTAGCATTAAAACCATTTATCATCTTTGTGGTGGCCTGGGTCAGAAAACAGAAAGATATTAGCCAAGATGCTGCCTGAAAACAATAAAATTTTCTGTCTAAGGAATTCTAATCTGTACCTATTTTTTTCTTTTTGATCCAATCCTTTTTTTTAAAATCTGGAAATAATAATATTATTATATCCAAAACATTTACTTTAAGTTCACTTTCTGCTAAGATGCAAAACAATTAAGATTTAAAAAACTTAATAACATTAGATAAACAAAGTTCAAATGAATTAATTATCTCCAAAGAAAAACTTTTCTCATTCTGACACAACGAGTAAACATTTCAATCACCTAAGCCAGGGTGTCTTGTACCAAGCACATTTATGGCGGTTTCAGTCAGAAGGTGGGGTAGAGTACAATTGTTGTCACAACGCAGTGAAATCAGGCGCTCATCAATTTGTGGGTATATGGAGTTATTGGAATCATCTCAAAGAAAGCTAATTTGTTTGCCTTGCTTTCAATGAAAGAGATATCCATCTATCTTGAATAGAACTCAACTCAAGATATTTGTGATTGAAGGAAGTGGGATCGCTTATTTTCAGTGGTGAAATTAGTGAGAAAATAGCCGCCAAATTTGGTTACTCCAATAGCTAAAGAGTCCTTGAAAACAGAAAAATGACATATTTGCCTTTAAGAGGCAGCTGAAAGCTATCTCGCGTATTAGTGAATCTAATGTTATCAAATTTCACACATATAACAAGCATAGTAAGGAGTCTTAAAATCCGCATTCAAATTTGAGAAAAATCTTTGTTTCAACGGATACAGCGGCCATATTGGATTTTTGTGACATTTCTTACTTAATTAATACTGCACTTATTTTTCATGCAATTATATTGGTTTTTTGCAAGCATCTTGGCAAACAATAGATCTACAAATCTGTGTGATGAATTTTTCCTAAACATACTAGAACATTTCTTCTGAATTTTTTCCTGAGGTTTTCAAAAAATCCATGAAAATCCACACTCCATACACTACCAACAAAAAACTGTTCCATATATTTTTAAAAATCATCGCAAAGTTTTATTACTACATCTTTTCTTCATTCTGTGAAAATTTCATGAAGATTGGAGGAAAAAAAAAGGAGTTATTTTTAAAAGGATATAGAAAAACCACGTTAGGAGAAAATGAGTGATTAAAAAAAATAAAAGATTGACTTTATGAGGAAATGGTGGTGACACACATGCCCAGTATGGGAAGAAATAAGGCTTTAGGGGGTTCTTTTGCGATGAAATAGTTGTAAGAGAGGCTGAAGAAGCTAAAAATGCCAACAACTTAAAATCTATAGTTTTGAGCCGAATCGGGACTTACCGGGTGCCGCTCCTCCCTCAATTATTTTCAGTAAAATTTACTTGGAAATTTGTTTTTATATGGACATAAAAGAGGCTGAACCATAAATAAAAATTCAATTAAAATTTCAAAACTAACAGAAAAATGCCTCTTTCTCCGATTTCTGTATTTCGACGAGCGCCAGATTTCACCCCGCTGCGCCTCACAATTATCCTTTTTCAACTTTTCTTTTTCAATAAATTGGAATTGCCATTCTTGCACACCATTTTTGATATTTTTTGTCCAATTCCCCATAAATGATATGAGCAAAGTGCTTACAATATAGCAAAAAAATGTGGAAGTTGCAGATGAATCTCTGGCCCGAGTCCGTATTATTTCTTCATCATGACATTTTTTTCCTCTTGTTCTTTTTCTTTTTGAACCACTCTCGGTCACTTGCCCAGTATCCTGTAATGGGACTTTTGAAATTGCCTTTTCCGTTTTGAGAAGAGTATCTAACTTCAACAAAAAGCAGAAACCATGCACCAATAACTCTAGCAAACAACTGAATTACCTGGCCTTTGCTCCACAGGTCAGTCGGATCTGATCAAGAGCCAATGGTTTCTGCCCCTTGCCTGTCAGATGGAACACATGTTCTGTGCCGTCCTCTTTGTTGGTCAAGATCAGTTTGCCCTGAGAGAGAGAAGCAAAACAGTACACTTGAGGAATTATAAACAATTAAATCATCATGTATTGAATGCTGCACTACTAATCATCTTAAAAACAACAAAAAGACTATCTCTGCATTTAAAAGAAGTGTATTGCCACCTAAAAAAAAAAACTAAAGCTGAGAAAAAAATAAAAAATAACAAGTAGACAAAAAGATCGATTTTTTTGTTTTAGTAGAGGTTTTACGGCGCTCCCAACTGCATAAGGTCATATGAGCGCCAGAAGATTAGAGGTGTTACAAGAGAGTAACAAACATAAAAAAGAAGAAGGGGAGATAAGGACGATAGATATGTGATAGGAAAGAAGAAGCAAACCACACCAGAGCACCTGCCAACCACCCACAGACTATCTCTGCATTTTTAAAAAGTGTATTGCCACACACAAAAAAAACAATCTAATGCTGAGGAGAAAAAAAACAAAATAACAAGTAGATAAAAAGATTGATTGGAAATTAATCAAACTAACAAAGGTTTTTCACAAACAAGGAATTTTCCTTCTTGGATGGGCAGAAAGCTACTATTTTGGCACAATCCAACAGAATTCAACTAAATTTGACAGTGACCTTTAAAATCAAAAGCGTTTGTTTTTCAAGGTCACAAGTTGAATCAATCATATTGAGCCAAGGTTGTAGCTTTTGCCCCTCCATGAAGGAAAATCTGGGTGGCCTCGAATCAATTCTATGAATCGAACTGACTGTTTGCCCTGCGTATTAGATCAATCTTGGTAACAACATAAGTCATCGACAAAAAAACTTCATGACAAATGTTGGGAGGAAAATTAGAAAAGGGAAAAAGGGGAAAACAAAAACGTGTTTGAAAGAATAAGAGAAGGGGGGGGGGGGGCAAAAATAATTTTAGAAAACAAGAAAAGAGCAAGAACAGATAATGATGACGACTATTTCATGGGCGATAAAAGGAGAGAATCAGCCCTTGCATGAGGCAGAAAGAAAGAAAAAGGAGAGAGTCAGAAAGAGAGAAAGAGAGAAGAGAGAGAGACAAGAAAGAATAAAAGAATAACAGAAGGAGAGAAATAAAAGAGAGAAAGGGATGAGAGAAATAACAGTAGAGAGAAAGAGAGCAAGAAGGGGGGAGAGAATGACACAAGAAAGAGATACAGAAAGAAAGAATGAAAGAAAGAAAGAAAGAAAAAGACACAAAGACAGAGAGACAGAGAGAGTGAAATTTTAGTTTTACTAAGAGTTTTACAGCACTTGCAACATAATGAGGGCTTATAAGTGCAGAAGCTAAGAGGTGTTACAAGAGAGTAACAAACACAAAAAGGAAGAGAGATAAGGACGATAGATGTTTGATAGGAAAGAAGGAACAAACCACACCAGAGCACCCGACAACCACGTGAAGAGAGTGAGAGAAAGAAAGAGAGAAACGGAGGAGGGGAGAAGGAGGGAGTGGAGAAGGAGAAAGAAAGAAAAAGAGGAAGGGTGTGGGGAGAGAAAAAAAGAGGAAATGTAAAGTTGCACTTGTAAGAATACATGTGCTCATCCTTCAGTTATGGACAACTAATTAAAATTTATTTTTTTGAGAGTGCTGGCCCTCAAGAGTGTGCATGCCAGCAAGTTGGAGGGAACAAATACAAGAGAATCTGTTCTAATGGCCACCTGTCCAAGACAATCACCTGCACAAACAACAACTTC